CGCTGATCCTTAATGCGACTGCCTCTGCTAATATGAGAAGGAAATTAATTCTATGATGATTTAAGAAGTGGGTAAATTAATTTATATCAGAAGCCTGACAGCTCTTAATTTGAATTTACAACTGCAAATATTATTCAGCACGAAAATACTAGCTGTTAAAAATGTGGTTGGGTGTATTGGATCCCGACAAGCTCCATGCCCTGAACTGGATACGCTCCATCCTGCAGGTTGTTTTTGTACTTTCAAATTTTCCACTTGCAAAGGCCTCCATGTAGCGCTGGATCTATCGATCACCCGTCCTCACGACGGCCTCTTTCCTTTAACAGCCTCACTACAGCTACGCTACACCTCTTCCTCTGTACAGTCGGCAGAACACCACCACCTAGAGGCTGATGTGCTTCAAGGTCCCATCTTTACCTACCATAGAGACAAGTAATGCCATAGTGGTATAAATATTATTAAGCTTAATAAGATAGATATTAAATTAATATTTCTTAAGATAGCAGGATTTATAAAATACTGTGATGACCTTCAAAATGTTCTGAACTAGAAATTTAGTTTAGAAGAATCTCCATGAGTAAGGAGCACATCAAGGCTGCAAGCTCAGGTCCTGAGGAGGAGGAAAGTACCGACAGCGAATGGCACGGGGAGCCACAAAGCCAAGCCTGGAGAACGGCACGAAGGAGCCAAAGGAGCCGGGGAGAAGCAAGTTCCTCCTGGAAGCTTCCAAGAGCCGAGCAAGGCAGGAGGAGGGGGACGGTCGGTTGTCCAACACGCCTCTCCCAGCGCATGAACGGGATGTCTGAAAGGGAGCCCTATCGCTCAGTGTAACTCCCACAGTTCTGTATTGTGCATCTTCTTGATAAAACGGGAAGGACCTACACCAAGAAATAACTTTCATTTCTGTGGCCAGAATGTTTTATTATTAACTCTTAAATGTTTTCATTTAAGAGTAACTGCTATCGCTCTGTGTAAATTGCTGCCTAACCCTAGCCCTGACCTCAAAATCGCAGTGGAAGGAAACTCAAATTCTCAGGTTGGGATTTCCCCACTAAGCTGGTTCAAGACTGGCCTCATGAACTGCCACAATAATGCCAGAAGTCTCCCAAAAAACATTTTCCAACAGCTCCCTTGCAAAGCACAGGTGACACAGACAAACGGCTCCTGGCAGCGCCGGAGGGTCGCAGGCCCCCGGGACCAGAGGCCCCGGGCCCCGCGTGGCCGCGCCGGGCCCCTCTAGCAGCGCCCGTCCAAGGCGGCCCCGCGCGCCCCTCTCCGAGGAGCTGCTCCCTGCTGGAGCGGGGCCGGGCGCCCGCGGGATCCCTGCGCTCCCGGACAGCGCCCGCAGCTCCTGCGCTCCGCGCCGCGCAGAGCCTGCTCTGCGATACCAACTCCAGATAAAGTCAATCCATCTGATATTGTTTTGCCAATGAACAGTTCAAGTAATTTACAAGTCCCTTGTAGGGTTTATATACTTGGGGCATCTGTTTAGCTTTTATTACTTCTGGCCTTGGCTCCCACACTCCTTCACAGATCAAATAACCGCTTTCCCTGCTTGCTAATTCAAACAGCTGGTTATTACTCACCAGACTCCTGCTACACTCGCCTGGGGAAGAATCATAAATAATGGTGTACAAGCAAACAGATGCTGTCATTTTAAAAACTGATCCGTCTAGCAGAAATGCCCCACTTAGGGCTCGAGTGGTGAATCGCTCAGCATGTGTCCCGATGTCATTTTAATAAAATCAAAAACATTGGCAAGACTCCATTGATTAATTCAAATTAGCAAACGAGGGAGGAGTGATATAAAAGAGAATAATACCTCAAATAAATAATTAAATTCTGAACAAACCAAACACCTGCTCTTTCTAGTGAGGACAAAGACAAGGTGAGATATAGAGCATTGTTTGATAACTGATGCAACCGATCACTTTCCATCAGTGGTAAAGTAACATCAAGTAACTGTAGGTCCTGAATCTATGACCATTAAAAGAAGACAGAATATAGCTGGTTTATCAGACCTTATTTTCGCCCTTAAAGTTGGACTTGTTTTTGCAATACATAGTTTCTTTTTTTATTATCTTTGCTAGGAGGAAGTGAACTGGCTGGTGCACATGCACTTACAGAGTATGCCCAACCGAAAACACAAATGCTTTGCAGACTATATCACAAGCAGCATTAGGAAAAGATTATTTGTACCAACTCTTCATTACTGTTTTACATGGTAATGAATAAATTTTGAATTTATTCAAAAAAACACATTTTTTTCCTCTCGGAGTTAGGCAGTTTGACTTCCACAACGTTTAAAAATCTGGCTCCTAATGAGAATAGCACAGGTCGCACAGACGATGGCATTAGGTGCCAGAAACCAGAACGCTGCTCCACATCAGTTTCCTGACGTCACAGAAATGACAGTCTCGTGCCCTGGCAGCGGGTGCAAATTCCCTCTAGCAGCTCGGGGGGGAAATGCCCAGCACGGAGGTCACCCCCGTCCCGGGCCAGGGAGCTCCCAACACATCTCTGCAATAATCGTCAGAGAGCAAAACCTCCCAGCCCAGCTCTCGAAAATCCAGCTGCCTTCAATAAAGACATTTTCAACCAAATTATTAAAATGCATCTGTGACTTATTACAAGCTGATAGTGTATATTATTTGAAGACCAAGGGTCAAATGCACTACAACAAAACTTAACACACACCTAAAACTCTGTTTTTATTTGCTTAACAAATATACACCTTGGCAATTTCAAGCCCACTGATGCTATATTGGCATTCAAACCATTGTGCCAAAATAAGGTGACTGAAAGACAACCCCCTTCCAGCCCACACCCGAAGAGGCACTGAACCTCCCCCAGGGCTGCCATGTAAATACTGGAGGGAAAACTGAAACGAACTCCCAGCTGCTTCCTTACCTGCAGCAAAACCCATCAGGGTCACCAAGATTTTCACACCGCACCATTCCCCTAGAGAGGATATGTTTGGAAGAAGGTGTTACATAAAATGCGAGAAAATATATTTACAAAATATTCAAATATTCAAAATGTAGTTCACGAAAAAAATCTAAACTACAGAAACTATGATTTAGCAAGTCATTTTAACCAACTTTAAGAGCAGTAAATTTTCATTAAAATAGCAACTCAAATCAGACTGTCCATAAACACAAGAGGAGCATTTGCTAACATTGTAAATACCAAACACTGAACCAGAGTCTAATTAGAACCCTTCCTTGCCAGTTAAATACTTTCCCATATAGCAGCATATTAATCACTAAATGTTAATATAAGGAGCACATTCTAGATAAATAAGTCATAAACCGCAGCCTCAGAACAGGTTTCAGGGGCCAGGAGCGAGGAGGCAGCAGACAGGCGAGACCGGGCCAGGACATCCCCCGGGCACAGCAAACGGGGTGAGAGATTCAGCGACGAAGGACTCCAACCACCTGGCTTGTACGAAAGCGCTTATACCTGAGCCTCAACGGAGAGGAAGGACTGCGCTCGCAATATTAAGGTTTACGATTTTATGTTTTTCAGTAAAATTAAGAATTTGCATCAAGCCCAAAGATTTGAATACCACACAAAAGATATCTTTAGGATACTTCACGAGGTAGAAATTCCTTACTTTTATTATTTGACTTTAGATTTGGATTTGTGATATTAACACATTCCTCAGACCTGCTGGATTTTAATACTAACTACAAAGAAAATATTACTTAAGTGTTGATAATGCATTGGGGCACATTATCGAGTCAAGCTGGAGCAGAATGGCACCCTGCAATTACTCTAATGTTGGTCAGAAGAGGGAGGTGCATATTTGGTACCCAAGCACTTTGCCCCTTCTCCACATCCCCGTGAGCGCTCCCGGAGGGGCTGGCGACCCGGCCTCGAGAGCGACAAGGCCAAAGCAAAGCTGGGAAAAGCGGCACTTTTTGGCTTGCGCCCCTCGTGCACTCCAGCTGCTCGCGCAGCTGCGGGCGGACCCGCGCACCCAGGGCGCCCCTCACAGCCCCCCGCTCCCCTGGGGAGAGGCCTCCCTCAGGGCTCCCCGGCCGGGACCTTTTCCCCTCGGGCCGGGAGCCGCCCCTCAGCAAACCGCCCTCCCCGGGGCAGGCGCTGCCCGCCCG